CAGAAGAAGAAGAAGAAGAAGATAGAACTATGGATCTTCTCATTGGTAAATTACCAGAAAAACAAACAAAAGAAACTCCTCAAAACCAGACTTTAACTCAAACAAAAAAGCCCCAAAATTCTCAATCTCAATATGTCCCAAAAAATAAGATTTAAGTTATTGTTCAAATGGAACCTGAATTTTCGGCTAAAAACCCAAACAAAATTCCCCAAAAATTTTTTCTTCAGGGTTTTCATTTTAAACCTCTTGCCCTCAATAAAACGAGAAAGTTCTATGAGTTTATTTTGGTTGATACAGATTCTATAGCAATCAAACATTATAAGGATCTAAAAGATCCTTCTAATATAACTCATACAACCTTCCAAATATTAAAAGTTTTAACTCCTAGCTAGTTTGGCTAAAACCCGAATAATACTCAGAAATTTTCAACGTTTTTTGACCCTATTGGGTACAATTATTGGGATTATATTGATGCTTGGACTAAAACGTTCTGGTATCAAAATAAAACCAATCGCCACTCATGGCTTATCTATTTCAAAAGAAATGTTCAGTACATGTTCCCAAAGTGGTTCCTCCAATGGTGGGACTTTTGTGGTCCAATTGAAGAAATCCTTCCGACCCCAGTAGAAGAAGGTTTCAAGGACTTTAAATGTATGTATGACAGCCAAAATACATGGATCCCAGCAGATCATCAATTTTTCTCAAGCTTCTTACTGTCTTGGATATTTTCATGGCAGTATAAATTTGGAAAATCTGATCACCCATTAAAACCTCCTCCATTTCAAAGGAACTCCTATGTCAAATGGTGGCCCCAATTTGATGCCAGCCGAGGAAGTTTTAGCAATTTTTCTTTGTGTTTCAAAATTTCAATCTGACCTTTTAAATAAAAAAAATTTAGTTAGGGTTAATTGCAAATCAGTCAAAGAAATTTTGCAAAAAGATGTCAAGAACCTTGCATCAAAACAAATTTTTGCTAGATGTCAAGCAATTTTAAGTGTTTTTCATTTTGACATTGAGTATCTCAAAGGCACCTCAAATTCTCTCCCTGATTATCTTACTCGTGAATACTTATAGGGGACATCGTTTGATGCCTAAGAAAGCAATACTGGCCTCAACCAGAGGCAGAGGCAGAGGTAATCATTTGGCCTTAACAGGGCCAACGCAATCTGTGGAGTCATCTACTCCATCAAACAAAACCCTTGAATTAATTGAGTCATTGACTCAACCCCAACCAAGTCAAATGGTTGAGTCATCTACTCAACAAACCCTCCACCAAACACAAAAACAAACCAAGGCAGATTATGCCATCCCAATCCCAATTTCAACCCTACTAAATCTTCAGAGTCTAAACTCTATTCCAACCAAGACTTGGGCTGACCTAATGTCAGAAGAAGAAGAAGAT